AACTTGATAACTTCATATGGAGCATGGAACAATATTTCCGAGCTCTTGCCATTTCCGAAGAGAAATAGAAAGTTGATATGGCAAGTCTCTTTCTTGAGGACACCGCCATGGTGTGGTGGAGAAGGAGACAAGGGGATATGGAGAAAGGGACGTGCACCATAAACACTTCGGTCGAGTTTAGGGGTGAACTCAAGAAATAGCTAGTTCTACCCTAGCAATGTAGACGAGGAGGCCCAAGGAAAGTTAAGGCGACTTCAACATAGAGGAAGCATACGAGAATACGTGAAGGAGTTCACCGAGGTACTTCTTCAAATCCTAGACTACCCTGATAAAGAAGCTTTCTTTGCCTTTATGGATGGGTTGCAGCAATAGGCTATACTTGAGATTCAAAGACATGGTGCTCAAGGCTTAACCACCGCCATTTCCATTGTCGAGTCCCTTATCCTGTTCAAGAAGCCTGAAAAAACAAAGCCAAAGGATAAGGACAGAAAGGAAAAGAGTGGGGGAGATCACCACCGAGGCAAAGAAACGATCAAGAAGACGAAGGGAGCCAAGAAGTACAAGGTTGGAGAGAGACCTCCACTAAAATGCTTCTTTTATGAGTGTCCACATAAGGCAAGGAAGTGCCCGAAAAAGGCAAAATTCTCGGCACTGATGGAAGAAATAGAGGAGCAAGAACGTGAAGAGGAGAGTCATAACCCCTCAATGCGATCAAGGCAAAGGTGGATATGCCTTGTTTGTAGAAGCCAAGAAGGGCATGTTTCTATCTTAACTCCTAATTTCTAGTTTCTTCCTGTTTCTATCAGTTCTTCTAGTTCCTTCCAATTTTTTCTAGATTCTTCAAACTATTTTTATTTTCTTCAAACTCTCTCTACTTTCTCACAAATCACTATAAAAACAATATATTATTATTATTACAACTATAATATTCATAATTATAGTTCATAAATTATTTCATTTTTTTCATGTCATTGTTTTTATGATTCACACTCATTATTATTTTTTCTTCAAATTTTTAATATAAATAATATTACTTTTTTAATCTGCATTATAAAATAGGAAAACATTAATATTTTAAACTATTTAAAAAATTGATAAAATAGTTACATAAAATGTTTTTTAATCTAAATTTATGTAAGGTAAACATCAATATTGTAATCTATAATATTTTAACAAATAATATCATCAATAATTAAAATACAACTAACAAAAAATTTATACTTATGAAAGTCAATTTATACAACTAACAAAATATTTATACTTTTTTACTCAATTTTTTCTCTTTTTTATTTATTTCAAAAATTAATTTTTTTCATTTTTCTAATTTTTATAAAACAAATTTGAAAGTCATAGTACTTTAGAAAAAAATACTAAAGTAGAAATAAAACATAAAAAATATAAAAAAAAGTTCTGTGTCTTTATTCTAGAAGTAGGGTTACAATGACAATTAAATTTTAATCATTAAAAAAAATAAGTTTGATTACATTATGTGACATGTCTTATATTTAAAACAAAATCAAGTAATATATAATGTATAATTGCATATATATTATTTTATGATAAATACTACATAACCATAATAACTTTTAAGTATTTACATTTTGATATTTATGGTAATGTTATATTCTAATCAATTTTTTTTCAAAAGCATTTTTTTGTATAAAAAATAAAAATATTTTTTTATCTTAAAGACATTTATTAAGGGCTTGTTTGAGAATAGCTTTAGCGATTAGCGTTAGTGTTTTGAAAAAGCTATCTACGGACAGCGTTTAACGTTTTCAAAATAATCTGCACCGTTAAAATTTTATCTAAAACGCTAACACTAATTTCTAATGCTATTCCCAAACAGGCCCTAAGATAACGTGATGACACTACCACCACCACCACCACCAACAATAACAACAACAATAATAATAATTTATAACAACAAGAATTAAAATGAGAATAAGATAAAAACACACAAAAAAAATTTCAAAGTTTTTTTTTGAATTTTCTAATTTTTTCTAATTTTTTTAAATTTTTTCCAAAATTTAACGGTGGAACTCTTAACTTCCAGTTTCTTCCAATTTCTTCCAGTTCCTTCCAGTTTTTTCCAAATTCTTCCAGTTTCTTCCAATTCCTTCCAGTTTCTTCCAACCTTTTTCATTTTCTTCAAATTCTTTCTACTCCTCAACCAATTACTCTAAAAATAATACTCCGTATATTTCAATGTGATTATTATTATTATTATTATTATTAATATTAATATTAATATTATTATTATTATTATTATTATTATTATCATCATCATCATCATAATCATCATTATGGATAAAATAGTTACATTGAATGTTTTATTAATATAACTTTTTATAAGACATCTCAGTTTTCCCTTTATTACTTAAAATTGCTCATTTTCCTAATTTTTATAAAAAAAATTATAAGTCAGAAGAGTTTAGAGAAAAAGACTAAAATATGAGTAAAACATAAAAAAAAATGTAAACAAAAAAGTTCTATGTCTTAATTCCAAAAATAGGAATTCAATGAAAATAAAATGTCAATCATGAAAGAAACAATATGTTTGATTATGTGACATGCATGATATTTAAAACAAAATGGTTTAATATATAAATTATAATTACAAATACATTATTTATAATAAATACTGCATAAATAAATTGATGTGCAATATAACTACATAACCTTTTTAAAATTTAATATTTTTATATTTATGCTAATTTTATATTGAAATTATTTTTTGTAAAAGTAGTTTTTTGTATTTAAAAAATAACAATACTTTTTTTATATCTTAAAGACATTTACTAAGATAACGTGATGATGATGATTATGTTGATGATTTTGATGATGATGATGATGATGATGATGATGATGATAATAATAATAATAATAATAATTTATAACAACAAGAGTTTAAAATAAATATTTTAATAGTGTTTTTTAGGTTTTCCAGTTCCTTCCAATTTTTTTCCAGTTTCTTCCAGTTCCTTCTATTTTCTTTCAGTTTTTTCCAGTTTCTTTCGATTTTTTCCTTTTTCTTCCCATATCCAGCTTTTTTTTTACAGTCCAAACAAATGCCCTAGATATGAAATCCTCATTTATAAAAATTACGGAGTACCCCAGACTTTGTCGTCCTCGTTGAGACCTCCTCCAAAATTTCCCCAAAACCTTCCTATCCATAGCAAACTTTGGAGAAGGGAGTGAATTGAGGCTGGAAGTCCGAGACAAACACCTTGAAGACCTAGAATTTCGCGCGAGGACTCGGTCTCCACGCCACCAGAGAGAAGCGGTGACTAAGCCGGAGGAGAGGAATGCCGTCGACGCTACTTGAGGTAACCCGCGCGTCACACGAGGAGATAGAGCGGCTCGAGCGGGTCATCGTTAAGGATCTCCAGACCGAGCCGGCCACCAATAAGGACCGCCTCTACCAGAGCCACCGCATTCGCAACGTTATTGAGAGAATCATTGACACCACGCACAGACTTGTAGTTTTCGTATCCGTTTTCTGTTCAATTTTTCTATTTCGTTGTCTAGGTTATTGACAATAGTTTAGTTAAGCGAATCGTCTGTGTTGTTGATGGCCAGGTCGATATCTATGAAGATAAAGACGGGGCGCGGAAGGATGAGATTGCGGCTCTGGGAGGACAAACTGCTACTGGAAGTAACATGTACAGTGCTTTTTATGACAGATTAAAGGAGGTAAACAAGAGGGTTACGGTTTTTTAAGCTGGTGTAGTTTTACACTCTAGTTACATTCGAGAATTGGTCATATTGCAATTTGTTCAAGTGTAGTACACTTCATGAGCGTGAAGCTGTTTAAAGATGATTGGAGAAATAA